TGTGTGACTGTGACATGGAGACCAATGGTTTTGAGCTGCCTTTTGGTAGCTGACGGGTGTAGGCGATGGTATTTTTTCGGCGTCGGTGAAAGTGACATATGTAATGGAACCACAAAAACGCGTAAGCATACAAGTTTTTTGGTTTATTTATTCTGGAAAATAACTGTTCTATTGAATTTTGGGACCTAAATTTAACTTTTAATAATTGATCCTAGTACTTAATACTAGTGTTAGATTGAGATTTTACGTCTTTTCTTTTACCTCATCTAAATAAGTCAGATAAAAGTTTAAGCTCCCATTTGGTAACAATTTTTCACTTCAAGAAATCAATTTTTTTTACAGTCGTCATTTTTAACTTATTCACTTATAGGTAGGATCATTTTTTCTCTCTAACTATCAAAAAAATTAATTATCATAATCACTACTGAACAGACCCTAATTTGAAAACAATAAATCCACAAATTTAATCAATTTTTTTTCCCTTTCTGTATATATAATAGAGTCGGGATTTAGAGATATTGTAGTCATGTGTAAAAATGTGAAGGTATAGGTATAATATTCATTTTTATTTTTATGAAGTAAAAAGGCATTAAGTGATTTATCAAATGTGTGTGGAATTTTTTTTTGATGGAATGATGTGAGATATTAAGGTATCATTATCGTCTGAATTAACTTTAGTGGGTTTAAGTGGAATTTTATCATGGAATGGTGCTTTATAAAGGGACCACAAGAATACAAAGTCCATAAAAGTACAAATATGGTTAGAACATAGACAATATTTTAAAACATTACTATTGATCACTACATACGTGAAACCAAATTGAAATGTTGATAAAAATTGTGATTAAAAATGAGTTTCGGAGAAAAGTAAATTTTAGAAAATGGGGCCAAACAGGAGGTGAATATGATATAAGAAATTAAGGTAAATCTCATAATCGCTTATTTATAAAAGAAATAGATAAGGTGATGAGATTTGATTGTTTGCTACGAAATGGATAAGTTTGATGGTTCCGGCTCCTCCATCTCCTTCGAGAATTTCAGCATCGATGATAAAAGCCTAGAACAACTTTGGTGCAGGGATTGAAGAATTGATTTCATATCATAAGTGACAGCACCCATGATTGTTCCTAGGTATGAAATGATACAAAAGTAGGTAAAATGAATGAGCAAGATTGATTAAATTGCTTATTTTTGTGCTGGAAATGGGAGAATCCAGTGCTGATATTTATAGTGCAGTATAGTTTGCTGTTTTCTTATATGACATGAAGATAAATAGATCCCACTTGCTGAGTATGAACCCATGAAAACTTGTCCAAGATTTTGAAATGAAGGTAAAGCAATAGTCTTAATCATTTCATCCAAACGGATGCTAGAAAGGACACATTTATTGATCAATATTATTTCTCCAAAACGTCATGAGTGAATCAAAGCTTAATACGTGCACGGTTTTTAATAAATAAGTGACAATGAGACTTGAACTTAAAACTTTTGTCTATTTCTAATATCATATTAATTAACTCATCTTAAGTTTATGTTGTTAAAAAAAGATCAAATTATATCTTTGACAACCTGATTTTCAAATTTGTAGAGCCTAAAATTAAGGCATTGTGCCATAAGTAAATCGTACTGAACATATAGTAGTACCCATGAATATTTTCTTCCTTCCTTGACTATATAGCATGTTTGTCCCAGCTTAAATGTTACTTATTACCGGCTTTTCTCCGAGCTTGTTTCAGCATGTATGCAAACTCAAAAGAAGTATCTGTTAAGCTAGGCCAAACATGCAAAAGATTAAGCAAAAGTGCCGGTGCATTGCTTGATCTCCCCACATACCACATTCATAGGACCCTATCAAATGCTATACTTTTTAATATTCTGGATGCATTTGTTGTTGACTTAAAAAGTCGACCTATTAAAAACAGGTGATATTGACATGAAAAGTAATATTTTACCAACCGTATTCTAATCTAGATGCTCTAACAAACAATTGTTCAGATAGAGCCTAAGGTATCAAGCTCGGTTGCCGATCAATCATCTACGAGTGGGCTGGGACTGGATACTGAACCTTGCCGTTAGTATTGAGTCTCCAACTTACTTTTTATTTTCGAGTCTTCAATATTCAATTTTCGAAGCAAAAAGTTGCTTTGGGATGGTCTATATTATATATAAAGGTCAGATTTAATGAAAAGACAATTTTTCATTCACATTGATATGAACAAAATAGAAAAGTTGGAAAAGACACAGCTTTTCAAGTTTTTGGTATTTCAAGTGCTTTGAGAAAGCTTAAAGAATTGCTAAAAGGTGACAATTTTTCATTCGCATTGATATAAACAAAATAGAAAAGTTGGAAAAGACACAGCTTTTTAAGTTTTTGGTATTTCAAGTGCTTTGAGAAAGCTTAAAGAATTGTTAAAAAGTTGAGCAATTAATTTTAATCACACGTTTATAAACCCACAATTTTTTGACAATATATTTCATCAAATTTTATCAAAATCTACTAAAATTGTTATTAAAAGCTCCATCAAATAACTCTAAATCATGTAATGGGGGGAAAATTAGAAAAGTTGCTCTAATAATGCATACCAAACTTATCCTTAGTGTTCTCTTAGTCATAACATATTGCTCTCGTGAAAGATCAAAAGAAAAAACACGACAGATAATTGTCACCCTTCTGTTGAATGTTTGACTAAGCTTAAAAATAAGTTGGATATATTAGTATTTTCTACTTCTAAAAAAAATAAAATAAATAAATAGAGTCTCACTTAACATAATTAAGTTACTTATTTTCAAGTGAGGAACTACAGTACATTGTTCACACTCCAGTTAGAATGACAGTACAAGTGATTATTTATCCAACTTCAGATTAGTCCTTTCTTCGACTTCAGATGAACTTCACATTCACAGTTCTCCTCCTTCATTGTTCTCTGTCGATACCTAGGCTCAAATTAGTTGTTTATGTCAACTTATCAAAAGCTTTACTTTGACTTCATAGTTTTCCTTCTCTGAGGTCCTGCACTTGGACTTGTTCCTTTTGCCCGATAATCATTTTTCCTCTCGACTGCTTCCTTGTTGCCTACTATAGAGCTCGTAAAACTTGCAGCATATCTTGGTATGACCTTACATTGGGTGTGTCTGTTTTGACACAAATTATGATTTTTTTGACCTGAAAGTAATTCTCTTCTTGTCGTCATTTTGCTTCTATTGATCTCATCATTATCTAGACAAACCGAGAAAGAAATAATTTGGTTTAAAAACTAAGCATGTTGAAGGCATTAAAGAACAACTCTGTAAGAACAGGACAACAAAGACGTGAAGATTGTTTCAAATTTTTACTTTCAAACTTTGCAAATGATAAAAATATTGAGTCCCACTCATACCACCTTCATCAATTCATTAAACCTTAATTTTCAGAAGTCGGGTTCTTTCAGAATTATCCATGTCGGATAGGGTAACAGAATCTGTCAACTTCAGTCGGGGTGCCAGTTGAATGTTAGAAAATTGATATGCAATATGAATTCTGTCTAAAATCTGCTAAGGTGAGGAAAACACATTTTTTCCTCATTTCTCCAATAAACAAAACCTTCGCAAATTACACTAGATAGAAAGCTAAAATACTTTGCTCATTACAATGCAGAGAATAATCCATCTTTCGAAGAAAATACTCGTGGATAAAAAGATTAGTATGAAGAGAAACTACAAATGCAAAGAGTCTTGGAGGTACCTGGACTTGATAACACAGCACGTGGACGTGGGATGGAACTAGCTCTAACATTTACAGGTTTCTCCTCCAAAACTGTCTTCTTGTTATCTATTGATCGACAGGATAGTTATCAATTCAACACAATCCATCAAATTTTTTGTTAGGAAATAACGTTGGTAAAGATTAAACCTTTAGATTTTGGGACATATGAGCCAGGAATTCTCACAGGTGATTGTGGAGACTCGTCTGGGCATCCAAACAAGAATCGTGTTAAAAAATAATGAAAATCCATTACAAACAAAAAAAGTGACAAAAAATTTCCATATAGTCATATATATAGATATTCATCATCTGGTATTATAGGGTTCAAAACTGCAGCAAAAACATTTCTATGAATGGCTGCCAAGTAAGTTGATGTTAAGTTTGAAGTTAAGAGTATATGGATAGTATAATGAGTTGAATGTAAAATCGACCAATACTCGCAGCTTTGCAATGAAACCAACGAGTTCTGAGCAATAGAATCTAATTTTTAAGACAACGTAAGAGTCATAGAGGTTAGTTGCAGCATAATAACTCAACCTAGTACTAACTGTCGGAAGTATCTGTGAGTTGTGGTTTGTAACTGGTAAGGAAAAATCTTAAAATCTGTCTTTGGTTGTGGTCCAAATTAGAGGTTTTCTCCATTACTTTCTTCGATGTATCTCTAGAGGTTAATTTAGCCTAATCACGCTTGATTATTTGCAAAAGATATTGTTAGTCTGATATGGATAAAGAAAACTACTAAATGTGTATCAGTTAATTGTTTCCGAAGCTTTTCCCTCTTTCTTGTTTGGCAAAAGGGATGAAAATCAAGGCGGAAGCAACTAGTTCGTGAATAATCACATCAATTTGACAAAAGCAAAGTGAATGAACCAAAAAGTTCAAAGAGCAGAAGATTGCTCATTCTGAAGGACATGATCAAAGTTTATGCCTTGATATGTATTCATAAAACAACGACTGATCATATTGATCATCGTAAAACAGCTGGAATAAGAAGTCTCCCAATCTCATTCTAAGGAATAAATCAAGATTAGATTAGGTGGCTCTGTCCATCCCCTGGAAGGGTGGAAGGAGCAACCGATCCAACTTCTTGATCAGCGTGAAAGCTTATCGAATGGGACTATAGATTCTAGTTCGCGGAGGGCTTTACACTTACAAGTCAACTGACCCAACGTTCCAGGTCAGAGAAAGCAACCAGTCCAACTTCTTAAGCAAGCTTGACAAACAAGCGAAAAAAGCCTAAATATTCTTATAGTCAATGGCTTTTCCCTTATCAGTCTGTTCCCAGCAAATTAATCATTTCACAAAATTGACAATATTCTTGGATTGAGGATTTGCCCAAATTCAACATGTTCTTAGATAAGTCAAACCCAATTTGCAAAACTCGAAATTCAAACAATTAATAAAAAACCATATAAATCCAACCAAGGTACAAAACTTTTAAGGCATGCACACAGTATTGAATATGACTGCAAACACGATCAATAGAATAAATAGAAAGAAAAAACCGAAAAAAGGAGAAGAAGAGGGGTGTACCTAGAGAAGAGGAATCATCCAAGGAGAGCCATTGAAAACCCTTCAAGGACTGCAAAGAACTTTTCTCATATGCATATTGATTTTCTTCATTTGTTTCTACCCTCACCTTCACCCTTGGATACACTTGGAGAATTCAAAAAATTACAAAAATCCATATAGGAGCAGAGAATTTAAAATCAAGAGAACAAAAATATCATCAAATAGCACAAACAGAGACTTACTGTTGTTATATGGGTCGAAAAAGAGACTTATTGTGGATGCTTCTGGGGCTTGGAGATTGTGTAATATGGGTTGAAAATCTTAGAAATAACAATAAAGCTGTGATAAAAAGAAGCGGACGTGTGATAAAAAGAAATAAAAAGGAACAAACATGTGATAGAGCTGTGAATATTTTTATATTGTTCTTGTAACGTGTTAGAAAGTAGGCACCAATCCATCATTTTTATTTTATTTTATTTGTATTTTGTCCTTTCAGACGTTACAAGGCGAAGAAAGGAACTCAAATGTCATTAAGCATCTTTTCGTCCTAATTTAATCCTTTCCTTTTAAAGTGGCATCCCCTTAGCGTCAATTTAATTAATTAGAGAAAGATATTATAGTACTTTCTTTCTTTTTTAATAAACTAATGTTGATCCATGAAAGTTTACAAAGAAATGATCCAATTTCAAATGACAGAAATCTTTGTAGTGTAGAAAATGCAGTGTTCCTCTCTTCAGGGAAAATACATGAAATTAACCCAAATAAAAGAGGAATTTTTCAAAATGACCTTAGACTTTTATAAACATTTTGAACTACATAAAACACCCTTAAACAAATATTAAAAACAACCCTTTACATAATAGAAATCTTCTATCTAAGTCCTTAAAAAATCTAACAAGTAATTTTTCTAAAAATTTGTGAAAATTATTAATGAATAATTATAAAATAGAAAAACCCAAATATAAGAGAGGACCATATAATATAAAAAAGATTGTTAAAAAAAAATTAAGTTTGAAAAAGAAATCGATAAAATAGGATATCAAAAATATTTATATGCATCAGTAGAAAATGCAGTGTTCCTCTCTTCAGGGGAAATACATGAAATTAACCCAAATAAAAGAGGGATTTTTCAAAATGACTTTAGACTTTTATAAACATTTTGAACTACATAAAACACCCTTAAACAAATATTAAAAACAACCCTTTACATAATAGAAATCTTCTATCTAAGTCCTTAAAAAATCTAACAAGTAATTTTTCTAAAAATTTGTGAAAATTATTAATGAATAATTATAAAATAGAAAAGCCCAAATATAAGAGAGGACCATATAATATAAAAAAGATTGTTAAAAAAAAATTAAGTTTGAAAAAGAAATCGATAAAATAGGATATCAAAAACATTTATATGCATCACAAGAAATATTAAAATGTTTCAAAAAAAACTTATTAGAAAATTTTGCTAAAGGAATTGTAAGATCAATAATCATAAAAGATATACAAGATATAATAGATAAATTGAAAAAAAGAAAGAAAAATATCTCAAAATGTGATATACCTTTTAGAACAGACATAGATATGATAACAGATGTTGATATTATAAATTCCCAGACATTACTAGATTTTGAAGAATTACTTAAAAATTTATGAAAAAGATAATAAAAAATAGATTACCACAAGCATACAAAAAATTAGTTTTTATCTTAAAACTTTATATACACCTAATAGCAAAAAATAAAAGAGTTTTTGGAATATTAAAATTTTAAATTTTTAGTTTCATGATTATTAGATTTTTGTTCACTCATAGTAGTAACCGTCATTTGGTATCAGAGCCATAGAGGTCATGGAAATCTTAAAAATAAATAATTATTATCAATGTATTGAAGAAAAAGAATGTTATATATTTTACAACCCCATCCCTAATAAATTAAAAATAATAACATTATATATAACTAGGAATTTACCTAGAGAAATAAAGGAACAAATATTACATAAATTAATTGTAGGATTTATCAAAGATAGACGTACATATGAAATAATT